CCCCAATCATGACAATTTGCACATGTGTGAATTGTGTAAGGGGACCAAGCGTCAGTCGACCTGCAGTTTGAGCACTCGTGGTGATTTTATCTGCGCATTGTTGGCTGGGACCCCCAACATGGCCAGGACCGTCGTGCGGGAGTCTGTTAGCCAGGACTGTCCAAGGAAAATATCGACAGGTAATCAGTAACGACCGGTGCAAGTATCAGTTAGGACTGTTTTTTGAGAGTATCGGCCATGATTGCCAAGTAAGGATTGCCAAGTAAGATCCTACACTATAACTAGATGGTTTGCTCAACCAAAAAAGTGTCCGCGGTCGTACGTGCTTACTCTCAGATGGCACTGCAGATACTGTTTTTAAGCTCGACTTTTCGTTTCTCGAGAAGAAGAATAGAAATAAATAGCACACGCGGTGAGTGGTGGTGCCGATATATAATATATATTTTTATATATATATATATATATATAAAGCCTTTAAACGACTTTAAAAAAGCTCACAGGAGCTTCACTTGTTGCTACATTTATTCTTAGCTTTCATTAGAAAGATACAAGACATAAAACATTTCTACAATAAAACTGCGTTGCCAGTGTAGTAATATCTGATGTTACCCTGATATCTCCCTATGCCCCCATAGTCAGCTGTTTCAAAGAATGGGCTTATTCTCAGGGGGGCGCCATCGTGAATTTGAGGACCCTATTTTAATAGGCTCGAAGAGAGGAGTGAACTATCTTGTAGAGTAGGATCTTCAACTTTTGGTAAGTGTATGAGAGTATCGACCAGGATTCTCGTGTGGAAGAATCGACCAGTTATGAAAGTATTGGTAAGGGCTTTTCGGTGACAGAATCGGCCAAGCAGGCGAGGACTGCTCCTTCTTTGGTGTTGGGGTGGGGGTGGGGATGGAGGTTAATGGTTGCTTTCTCTTTCATCAACTTTTTTCTTCTTAGGAACAGGTGCGAAGATAGACGGAGTCATTGGTTAGTTGTGAAACTTCCACACAACGCTGCTTTTCAAAATGGATTCTTTTTTTTCCCTCAATAACCGTTGCTATAAAAGTGTGCATCTCTTTGAGTCAAGCAAACAGGGGCACTTTTTTTACTTTTAGGGGTGGATGTGTGCGGGTGTGTATTTGTGTGTGTGTGTGTGTGTGTGTGTGTGTGTGTGTGTGTGTGTGTGTGTGTGTGTGTGTGTGTGTGTGTGTGTGTGTGTGTGTGTATGTGTGTTTGTGCGTGTGTGTGTGTGTATGTGTGTATTGTTGTTTTTAATGTTGTTGATGGTGATGGTTGGGGGGGGGGGGTCCAAAGGATATGTGTGTTGGGGGGGGGGGGTCTCATTTGCACTATATGGTTTTTCCACACATTACTCTGGCACGAACAAAGAAAGGAAAACGAACAAATTGAATTTCCAAATATTTAATTCCAAACTATGAACGTACACCGAAAACCAAACTGCTTTTTTTTCTAGTTCAATAAGTCAGCAGCTCAGATCTCTGAATGATGCATGGTGACAAGCACTATTCTACTAAACTTGGAAGGCCTACACACACACAAACACACACACGCACACACACACACACACGCACACACACACACATCCTCTAAGGACATCCTGAGACATGGTGTGGGTAGTCACAGTTCAGGATCTGTTTGTTGAACAGAGTACCTCCAGGGCAGGACAATCGCACAGTGGCGTGGTTGGCGCACTCGAAGAAATGGCTACAGCTGGTTGGGTCAGCGTGGACACCGTCTGGCCAGCCCAGGTCTTTGCATATGGTCATTATACCTGCGCAGATAGATAAGGAAAAAAGAGTTTAAAAAACAACAACAAAGAAAGAAGGAAAGTCAACATTTATTTTCTTCCAACACATAGAAATTTGGTTTGTTTGTTCTTCAAGGACTACATGTGAAACAGGCATCGGCGATCATAGTTTGCTACCCTTTTGCCTGAATCCTAAACAAATACATATAGCATCAATATTGTGGTCACTACTTTAGGTTTTAATTCTACTTTTTTTTACGTCGCTGGTCAGTGTCTTCAGTATATCGTAAACATCTTATCACAATCACCCAAATCAGTTTCTGAGGGTTCCCAAAATAAAGCCGTTTTCTGAATAAAGACATCAAGGGGCATCTGAGAATATTATAATTTCGTTCTGTTTCATTATATCCTTCCTAAAGCATGCAATTATCTATAATTGAAAAATAAATAACGAGCGCTCAAGTCATGGTTCTGATCTGGACCCTTTCTTCTTTAGTGTTCTCAGAACTTAAAAAAAGATTTAGGTGCTTGTGGAATGATGCTCACAATATTTGTAGTGGACACCATCCCAATAAAAATATCAGCATGTAGGCCTATTTGAGGCGTAAACCTTTCTAATTACATCCATTGACATTCTTCCACGGTTATACAAAGAAAACCTTACTGAAAGAACCAGCAGGTTTGGCTGTAGTAGCGGGAGGCAGGGTGTAGACGGGAGCTGCTGTTGTTGCGGGAGGCATGGTCTGTACGGGGGCTGCTGTCTGTACTGGAGCTGTTGTCTGTACGGGGGCTGCTGTCTGTACTGGAGCTGTTGTCTGTACGGGGGCTGCTGTAACCGGTGCAGTGGTGGTCGTTACCACAGGGGCGCTCGTGGCAAACTGTGTGTCCACACCGATGAAAAAAAAAGATTTTCGTATTTTCATTATAATATTGGAGACAGGCATTGCTCATACCCTCCCTTTTCTTTGATAACCTATAACATATGGCTTGCCTGTCTGTTTGTTTGCTGATGCGTTTATTGTTTGCTTGTTTAAGTGCACAGAAACCCTTCGACACAATGACGGCCATTTAATGGTAGGGGGAAAAGTCAGACCAATAAACAGGAACAAATACTGGAAAGATGAAAAGTAGGACTAAGCAGTGGCTCCCTCTAACCACTAATGCATTGCACATCACAAACAAATAAATGACACTGACCTTGCAGTTTGAGTTGGCCGGCCAGTCACAGTACTTGGTCTGGGCGTTGAAGTGGAGCCCTGGGGCACATTTCACGTGGTAAGCCAGTCCGGCGGTACAGATGAAGTAGGACTCGCACTCGTCAGGATTTGGGTGGAAGTCGTCCATGTTAGGGTCGCACGCGATCTTGTCCGTGTGGTTTACATGATGTTCTGGAGCTGGAGCTAAGAACCGATTAAGATATTTATTGTAAACTTTGGCTGGAGAGCTAACGCACGGACAAGACAAAGATACTTTTCTGTAAACAATTGCATGAAGAGCTATGTTATCGACAAAGAAGTTTCATTGTAAATATCTGCAAAGGGGGGGGGGGGGGTAGAAACATCCACAACAAAGTTTCATTGTTAATGTTTTTTGTTTTTGGGAGGTTTCATCATTAATATTTGCATGGGGAACTAAGACATCGACAGAACAGTGAAGTTGTACTGTATATATGTTTGCTTGGGGCGTGGAAAAGGGGGGGGGGGATCAATTAGCAGGTTTCATTGCAAAAATTTTGCATAGAGAGCTAAGACACTGACAGAGCAGTGAAGTTGCATTGGAAATGTTTGCGGTGGGGGCTAAGACAAGGACACATCAAAGGAGTTTGTGGCAAATCATTACACCTCAATTGACACACGTCAGACCATTTAGGTGGTGGGATATATCTATTCCGCCCGTTAGAGTCAACTCGGGATCATTGAGATTCAGAATACCAACAGAAAGAAGGGAAAAATCGAGGATTCCGTATTCGCTGCTGTGCCGTCATAAGGTTGTGGTTTTAATTAATGGGGCAAATTCCAGGTCCGATTCTGAATGATGTCTAGTTTAGTTTATTTTTAAAATTCATACATTTCATTTCTATAAATCTTTCTCAGTTCGACAAAATCTGTCTGGAAACCAAGCATTTCATATTCAAAATGACCCATCGTGAACGGAGTTGTGAGGTAAACAATCAAAATGAGATTTGAACCTTTGTAAAATTCTTTAAAACGTTGACAAATCTATGAAAGTACTATTTTGGACAATCAAGTTTGTTCAAGCTAAATGTTATGGACTTTTCTTATCTTATATGATGTAACTTAACCGAGCATCACGTCTCTAAGCCTCTCCAAACTCGGTCTATTCCAATGTTCCCTATCACAACAAGGGATGGTTAAGTAACATAAGATAAGGCAATTTATAGCACAGCGTGACATAATACCACTCCACAAGACAGAGAGTAATTATATCTCGATCACGAAGGTCTCTGTTTCGTGTAGGCTCTTCGGGGAAGATCTCAGGCGAGATTAATGCTCTATTTACTATCTAATGGATTTTCGTATATCCACGAAATGAATTTTTGGGGGGAGGGGGTTCGATGTGCCACAATCAAACACCTTCTTATTGCCTTGTTGCAATGCTACATAAATCAAATTGTTGACTGTGTCAGATGAAAAGGCTGTACCGTTAGCTCGACAGGGGAGAGAGAGGATTGGACTACGAAGCTGGAAACCCCAGTTCTAATTCTAGAGCAACCGTCAAAGAACAATCCATGTAAAAAAAATCGAGATTCAAAGTTTCCTTATTTCCTAAAACAATCTTCATTGGACTGCAAAAGGCAAAAGCGGAAAAGTATATTCAACATGAACTTTAAAAATTACAAAAAATAAAACGCACTTGTCGGAGCTGTGGTGCCCGGTGCATTGGTAGGCTGTCCTGTAGTTGGCATCGTCTGAGTGGTCACTGGTGAAGAAACAAAACGGCATGAGTAAAGTAATGGGTGAGTCTGCTTGGAGAGTTCTAAAACATTTTAAAGGCTAATTTCCCTTTAGCCCCACTCTAACCTGATCTCAATTTTTTAAAACCTATTTTGAAATTACCCTTCTCCAGTAGTTACCACATCCATTTCTCAGACATATAAATTGTATAATATGTACGAACATTGTTCGCTTGTTTGTTCTTGCATTCCATGGTGAACTCTATCTTGTTTTGCTTCACCGCTACCCAGTTCTGGTCGTCTAGTCTGATCTTCAGTTAATCTGTCATGATACGCCTCCTCGAGTCTTGTTTCATCTAAATCCATTATCACTATATGGCCAGACCCTTGAAGTAACTAACTTTAGGGCTTAGAAAACAGACTCTTGGCTTTTCACGTTTTGAGAACGTTGGCGTCTGTTTTTTTGTCCTGCCACTCTCTTCACTCACCTCCACCGGCAGTAGACCCAGCACCGGGTGTGTTCGTGTCACTGCTCACGACCAGGGTGATTTGAGTGGTCGCCTGTCCCGGCGCAGAGGTCGTTCCAGGTGCTGCAGTTGTACTGAACACAAACAGCGAAGTATGGAATCAAGTACTTTTTATACGCATACACACTCGCGCTAAGGCACACACACACTCACACACACACACACACACACACACACACACACACACACACACACACATACACACACATGCACAGCACACACACTCACACGCACGCACCCACGCACGCATGCACACACACACAAACAAACGCACACACTCACACACCCGAGCGTCCGCAGACACACGTACACGTACTAACACATACACACACTCACACATATAAACACAAACACAAACACACACACACACACACACACACACACACACACACACACACACACACACACACACTCCATTCTTAATCAATTAAATTTTTTTTTAGCGCATATGACCTCAGGGCGACCAAAATGTGGCCCCACCAAGAGTCGAGACCCCGAATGTGCATAGCAGGTTACATAAGTTCCAAATAGAGGCTAAACACACACACACACACACACACACACACACACACACACACACACACACACACGTACAAACTCACACACACACACACACACACACACACTCACACATAAACATGTATATATGATATGAACGTATTCGTGAGCGAGCACTTTCATGGTGTAATTTCTTTAAATGTTGTCCTCTTTTTTTAGAGACAGGCATACGAGAAAGAAGAACAACTTCAAGAGAACTCAGACAGGCTGAATACACAGAGTGAAATGCTCAACATGAGGATCTACAAAACAAAACCGAGATTATGAAGGTCTGCGGAACACCTTGCAACCTCACCTTCAGCATCGACGGAACTCCGCTGAAACATGTCAGCGAGTTCAAGTATCTTGGCAGTATCTTCTCGAAAGACGGACGTTTCAACACAGAAATTAAGACGAGAGTGCAAAAGGCTAACAGAGTCAGATACCAGCTTGCCCCACTCCTCAAACATCTAACATCCCCACTGAGACGAAAGCCACCCTATTTGACTCTATCTTTATCCCCGCCTTTATCTACCAACGCCAGACATGGACCTTGACCAAAAGTCTGGAAGGCAAGATATCTACTTGCGAGATGAGATATCTAAGGAGAGCCGTCATCAAAACCAGTTAAGACATGATCAGAAACAACAGGATCAGAAAAATTATTGGAACAACACCTGTCCTCCACTACATTCAGAGGCAAAAATTAGGTGGTTTGAACATCTGACACGTATGGCACCTCACCAGCTTACCAGTAAAACGTACTACAAAAGAATATCAGGGTACAAGGCAAGAGGAAGACCATGGAAGACCTGGATCGAGGGTGTGAAGACCCTGAAAACACAAAATTATCCCATCCACCCAGGCCAACCAGATTGCCAGAGACAGGGGAAGAATAAAGTTAATTAAGTAAAGTAAGTTTTAGAAACTAAATCAAATAGTTTACCCCTGTCCTCCCGATGAGGGGTTACCGCACTCATCCTTGACTGCGTTGATAAGTGGGTATTTGCCTTTTCCACAGGACTGCCCTTTGAAGTCGTCCAGATCTAGAGCCCAGAACATTACTCCTCCAATTCCATGATCAATTACATAATCCACCTGAAAGTCAAGCGATATCGTTTTCAGGGGCAATATTATCTATGCAAAGAATTGGAACAACATCGTAACAGAGCAGATAGGTCTGTGAGAGGAAGGTAGAGAGACACGGTCTAGTTGAGGTCTCCTTTCAGAACTTACTTGGCCTACTATGTACATCAGGAGTCTCCAATCTCTGTGGGGCCAACATGATGGGAATAATGGTGTTACGTGTGAAAGACGATAATTTAATGAATGGCGACCTCAACTAGACCTTGTCATAGCACCTTCACCGTGAATACAGGAGGGGGAAAGAATAGAAAGCACTGTAGGAAACCACTAGAGGGCAAGACAGAGACATCGGGAAGGAGAAGACGGAAGGGAAGAATGTTGGGGTTGAGAGAAAGAGAGCCAGAGAGAAACCGGGAGGAAGAGAGAGAGAGAGAGAAAGAAAGAGAGAGAGAGAGAGAGAGAGAGAGAGAGAGAGAGAGAGAGAGAGAGAGAGAGAGAGGGGGGGGAGGAGAGGAGAGGAGAGAGAGACGCGGGGGGAGGGGGTGCTTGGAGTCAAAGTCTATTTTTTAAATAGCAGTTCTTTAAAAAGGCGAATTTTTTTTCATATTTTTTGTAACTTAACAAAGTGTCCTGTTTGGAACCAAATTTGGCCGACCCAAATTGTTAAAATCGACTGTTTTAGGAAAATTTAGTCATTTTCAGAATTTAAATCTGGCAACTGTTGCCTATGCTTTAGTCACTTTAAGAAACCACAAATACATTACGATGCCTTTAAACAAGTAAACATTGCATAGTATAGCGAGCTTCCACTTATTCCAATTTTGTCGATAAAAAGAGCATGCAAAAGTAAAGCTGAGCCCCTATTTTGTAATTCTTGACTTAAAATGCTGTAACCAGGTCCCGGCGGAAGTCACAATGGGGTCGCAGTAAAGACAGGTTGGAATCGTGCTGTGATCCTTGTGATGAAGAAAGAAGTGTATGCATTTTTGGGGTATTCTGTTGGTCTTCCTTCTTATTTTATTTTTTGGGTTGTTTTTATTGCAAGGGGGTGGAGGTGGGGGCAGAAAGGCGAGGTGCTTGACTTTACTTTTACCTAAAAACACGCTCTTACCTTGTTTCTCAGGCTCTCTTCGTTGTCAAAGCCGATCCATTCGTTTCCCTTGACCATGTACGGCACCTCTTGTTCTTTGATTGTCTTCACGACACCTCCAGACTTCAACTCGTCGCAAATCTGTCCATGACATAGAGGTGAAAGAAAAAGAGCTATTAAAGGAACAACCACTTTTTTCGACCATTCAAAAACACTTTTAAATACACATTGGATTTAGAAAAAGGTATTTAGGGGCAGGAACAACAGGATGGGAATATTGACTTAACAATAGCGCCCTTCAACCATCACTATTTATTGCTAAAATAAAGCTCGTTTGAATTATAATTATAATTAAAACAAATAGAACGATCTGCAAAGGTTCGTAGAGAACCTAACAAGCATGATCACGTGTGATTAAATTGTCTTTATTTTCTTTCTAAGGAAGAGATAAGTGCATTAGAATAATATTGATTATTGGTGAAATGCCAATTGAAAAGACAGAATGAATGCAAGAATAAAAGGGGATATAACTTTTCAAACGCCCTCTAAATCAAAGCCATGTTTGCTTTTCTGAACAGCACGTCTTCTGAAAGTTCTGCTGTTCGCTTAAGATAAACCTAAAAGCCCACACAGCGAAACGAACTTGAAGTACGAAGTAAAAGCATAGGGACAATTGTTAAACAATCTTATAATTAACCGTAACATTACAGAAAACAATAGTTATTAAGAAAATCAGAGGGTGTAATCTTACTTTATTGCCCGGATCCACCAATTCTGATTGTGGTACCGTCTAGAAAATTGCCCCACAACTGAAGCTGTCAACAGAACAGACTCACCTCGTAATAAGCTTTGAACCCCGCCTCTCTGGTGTACGTTCCTGCAGGGCCGGACTTCGTGATGGGGTCGTTGACATTACTTTGGCTGGGGTCAGCCAGGATAAAATTACGACCGTAGGTGGCCAAGCCAACGTTTATTTTCTCTTTAGGGGCGCCGTGTTGAATGTAGTAATTGATGGCAGAGTCCTGGGAAAGTTAATTAAGTGAAAGAATACAGAAGGGAATCGGGTGTGTCAGATAGAAAAAAGAGGAGAAAAAAAACCCCGTTCACATTAGAGGCATCTTTTCTCTTAAACTTAACATCGTTGAAACTTAGTGTTGGGTCTTTTGTTGAGGGGGAGGGGGGTTTGAGGTTGTTGTTTTGGTGTGTGTGTGTGGAGGGGTGGGTGGGTTATTTGTTTGGGGTTGTCTCTTACGGCAGTTAGGTTAGTAAATGTATATATAATACTGGCATAATAAAAATAAGGATCTTGGGTTTTTGTTTAGTTAAAGCGAAGAACACAGAAACCATGGCTATCTATCCGTGCGGAGAAAAATAATTATTTAATTTTTAGAGAATACATAACGATGTCAAAAGTGTCAATTTTGCTTTCAGCTGGGTGGCCGCACAAGATCTTTTCAGTAATACCCTTTAACCACTCTAATTCGACTCCTCCAGACTCTAGTAGTAAGATAGATCAACAAAGTTAGTAGACAACCTACGATGTTGTAATCAGCCTGAACTCCAGTATCTCCAGGGTGGGCGTACAGAGGACTGTTGTGTCCAGTTACCTTGTCCCAGGATCCGTGGAAGTCATAAGTCATGACGTTGAACATGTCAAGACTCCTGTGATGAATAGATGGGTAGGTAGGTAGTGGGTAGATTAATAGGCAGGCAGGCAGGCAGGTATCTAGGTAGCTAGGTAGGTGGTCGTGTGGGTGGGTGGGTAGATAGGCATGCAGATCGTTTGGTTGGTAGGTAGGTGGGTGGGTGGGTAGGTAGGTAGGTAGGCAGGCAGGCAGGCAGGCAGGCAGGCAGGCAGGTAGTTAGATAGGTAGGTAGGTAGGTAGGTAGGTAAGTAGATAGGAAGGTAGGTAGGTAGGGAGGTAGGGAGGGAGGGAAGGAGGGAGGGAGGGAGGGATTGAACGATGGGTAGATATGTTTAAACCTGGTGTCGTTTTTTCCTGGACATGCTACATACTATGCCAGCCTTCAAGATTGTGTCTGTCTTGACAAGCAATGGAAGAACGTTTTAGAATAATATACGGAAGTCTGAATACGGCTTGAAATTATAATTAAATGTAATTGTAGACGTTTTACTACCCATTCTACGCATCCAGGGCACAGGTGGTTCTACCTTATCTGTAGGGGCCAACCCGAATAACAGGATCACAATGCCTCAGCAGGCAAATAGAACCCCCCCCCCTCCCTTTCCACAAAAAAGTCCATACATAAGAATCGAATTCGTGTCTTCTACGAGCAACCGGTAAACCCCTAACCACCTGACAGCTACGCCAGTAAAAGGATGTTCTGAGTAAAATAGGAAGAATGATTAATATAACACTTTACTTGGCCAGTTCAGGGATTTCATAAGCTGGTTCTATTTTGTCCTTTCCGGCAGCGACAGCAGCTGATAGAAGGAGTCGAGGTTTGCCAGAAGTAGCCGCTTCTTGTGCGAACGCGTCAGCCAGTTCCTGGGTGGAAGGAAGGAGCAAAAAAAACAACGGATGTAAATAGGTCAAAATATTCGATCTGCTGAATCAGATTAGATTAGCACGGGTCGGGAAGTGGCATTGACCAGAGCACATTATATATCAAACTCACAAACGCTTTTTTTCACTCTCATAATACAACATGCAAATCTATTAGACCTAGAGTATCAAATTGTGAGCAAACAGAATATCTGATCCCACAATGTCATGGGACACGTAGAAGCTTTCTAATTGGTTGTTCGTCACAATTTTCAACAATTTGGTTGTGACGATGGAAACCAAAGATGCTTGATTTTTAACAAATGTGATCTAATAGTGTCAAAAGGGTAGGCTTTGCCTCTCAATAAAGGAAACTCTAGCCGCATTCAAATGTTTCAAACCATGTCACATTGTATTCGAACAAACGACGATTTTTGGTCTAACGTTTCAACGTTGCCAAGTGCAAACTGGAGAAAGTTTGAGATTAACCTCAGAATCAAGTTGTTTGACCATGGAACATAATGCCGAACGTGATTGCATGCGTGCGAGTTTTCCTAGAACATCCGAAGCAAAGAAACTGTTCTCCAAGATAATTTCCTAATTCCGTTCAAAATGGATTTCGATTTTGGAGTAGTCCAAGGATCATTATCCTGCTAAATTTCCACGTAGGACCTCCGAAATTTGCCACCTTTATCCGAGAAGACTAGGTGCACGATCCTACCTATCCCAGGACTAGGGGGGTTGTGGGGGGGGGGGGGGGGGGGGGGGGGTTACCCAAAAATTAAAAAAAAAATGGCCGGGGGGGGGGTCCAAATCCCAACCCCCCGGGTGGAAGGGGGAAAAAAAAACTATTGGCCTACTGAGCCTCCTTCTTTCTCCACTTTTCCGCGGGGCTAAATTTGAATTTAAGTTTGGATTTAAATGATCATATATGAGATTATTGTGTGTGTGTGTGTGTGTGTGTGTGTGTGTGTGTGTGTGTGTGTGTGTGTGTGTGTGAGAGAGAGAGAGAGAGAGAGAGAGAGAGAGAGAGAGAGAGAGAGTGTGTGTGTGTGTGTGTGTGTGTGTGTGTGTGTGTGTGTGTGTGCTGGTGTGTGTTTGCGTGTTTGTGTGTGTGTGTGTGTGTGTGTTTGTGTGTGTATGTTTAGCTGATGCATTTGCGTGTTCTCTTCTCTACCTCACGACCCCTACCTGAACCAACAATGTGAACCTATGCTTGTCCTCGGCAGAACTTCCTCTGGCTCCAGGGTATTCCCAGTCCAAATCAAGGCCGTCAAAATTGTGAGACCGGAGGAACTTAATTGTGTCGTCAATGAACGTTTTCCTAGTGGCTGCAGTGGCCACCATGTGCACGAAAGGAGCTGAGCCCATATTCCAGCCGCCCACAGCGATCATGGTCTTCAGCTGAGGATTCTGCTTTTTCAAGTCGGTGAATCGATGGTACCTGGGGAAATGGGAATTTTTGTTATGATTGCGTATGAGAATTTCTAAGAGACAGACAATTTAATGGAAGGAAAAATCAAATAAGGTCGTGCCGAAAGAAGCCAGCGTGGGACTTTCTCTAATAAAACCAGTAAGGAAGAGACACATTCACTTTCTTTGACACTTGACACGACATACATTTTACTCCCTCTGGCAAAATAGAAGTCATTGAAGGTAAAGTTAGACTAGTAACAGATTATATTTAAAAAAACGTCAACAAATGGCTGGCGGAGAAAGAACAGGATAATGATATAGGTTTTCTGAGAGCATCAGAGCAGAGAAATGAGTGGCAAATCATGCTTGCTCCCTGGTGTTCAGGATTTCAATTTATTTGTTTATTTGTTTTTTAAATGTTTCTTTGGGTTTTTGTTTTTGCTTTTTTGGTGCCTTGATTTGTTTGTCAATTCGTCGTTTGTCTTTGCTTGCCAGACCATACGGCGACAAATTGATCAGAAATAGTGCTTGACAGAGCGCACAGAATTTGCAGAAAAGAGAAGGTATCTCTAATCAAAAAGTGGAAGACTGGCGAATGAGTTTGAACCCAGTTAGTGTGATAACAGTATAGTATCCCGTCCCCCCCCCCCCCCCCAAGACTATTAAAATTTACAGTTTTCTGAGGGCTGACGGTGGGAGAATCGCATACTTAGAATTTCTCCCATGAGGGACTTCAGGTAGAATGGCGAAACTGGAAAAGAGCGGGCAATTATTATCTGCTCTATGGTCACTTTGTCCTATCACCAAGGCAAAACATGGTTGAAATATTTTAATAGAAAGTAGATTTCACCCCCCCCCCCCCCCCCCCCCACCCCCAATTTTTAAAAAGAGGGTAAAAAAGCTCTTTCGAACATAAAGTTAAAGCTACTCCCATAAGGCCCCAAAAAAAAGGGGGTGTGTGTGTGTGTGTGTTTTTTTTTTTTTGGTCTGTTGGTGTGTGTGTGTGTGTGTGTGTGTGTATGGGGGGATGTTAGAGAGAGAGAGAGAGAGAGAGAGAGAGAGAGAGAAAGAGAGAGATAGAGATAGAGAGAGAGAGAGAGAGAGAGAGAGAGAGAGAGAGAGAGAGAGAGAGAGAGAGAGAGAGAGAGAGAGAGAGGTTGGAGGATATCCCTGATGTGCATATTAGGTTAAAGTTCCAAACGAAGGGTTTAGTTTTCTTTACCAAGGGTTTAGTTTTCTTTACCAGTTTTCCCTTTTTAAAAGATTTCAACTGTCCCGTTCCACACTTACATGCCCGTAGACCACGCAGTGTCCTCGTCGTTCCACTCGAAGGCTGCCAGCTTGTCATTGGTCATTTTGGCGAAGGAGTAGATGAGATGAGTGCACAGATTGGGGTCCACGTCTTCTGGCATGAACTTGCCTTGTCCGGGTCTGTACTGGGACCAGTTGGTGTAGTAGCACACTCTCCTCTGACAACCTTGGCGATAATAAAACGAACAGCTGTTTAAAAAAAAAGAAATTGTAGATGGAATAACATCCACTAAAATGTTCAAGTCAAAAGACGGTGTAATATATAGACCTTCTCTGCTGATTCGTTTATGCATGGTTGATCCAGTAACATTCCTAACTATTCCTAACTCATTCTCAACACTCACCTCCACTGGAAGCAGACCCGCCACTGGGTGTGTTGGCGTTAGTGCTCATCGCGGGGGCTTGTGTGGTCACCTGTCCCGGGGCGGAGGTCGCGGGGGTCATTTGTCCAGGCGCGGAGGTCGCAGAGGAAGGACCGCTGCTGCTGCCAGATGGCGACTGGGAGGTCGCGGCGGACGAGGATGCTACAGGTGCCGCAGTGGTACTGCAATCAAGCGACAAAGTAAACAACTAATGCATCTATCTATCTATCTATCTATCTATCTATCTATCTATCTGTACATATACCGTGTCTATAATTCTGGTGGCGCTGACCTTTGCGTCACGTTATAACAGAAACCCCACACTGTTCTGACCTCAAAAGTTATACGAAGGTAACAATCAATATTCCTAAATGCATAACTGTGTCGAAATGTCGTGATTTTGTGTTAAATTATTTATAAAATCGCATGTTTCGATTGCTACGCATCGTTATTAGAATGCTCTTAAACTGAGCTATTGTTTTACAGTTCTACTTTTTTTTTAAATGAGCATCTGCTCTTCATTGTTTGTTCAAAGCTTCACGAATAGACTCTCTCTCGCGCGCGTGTGTGTGTATGTGTGTGTGTATGTGTGTGAGTATGTGTGTGTGTATGTGTGTGTGTGTGTGTGTGTGTGTGTGTGTGTGTGTGTGTGTGTGTGTGTGTGTGTGTGTGTGTGTGTGAAAAGCGTCAAAAGGGGAAGGGGGTGGTCACTCTGGAATGTCCTTGACCAACACACAATAACCCTAGCTAAAAAAGCAGGACACCCCACAGTGGCGTCTAGCAATGATGTGTTGATTGTCTATATTTGTGATACTGTGCATTATCCTTGTACATGTATCAATATATCAGTGTATTTGGGAAATGACGTGCGCCATGTTGGAACAAATTTCTCAGGTTTATCAATAAAATATATTTTTTTAATTTTAAAAAAATACTGTTATATTTATGTCGTAGACATAATATTCTTAAGAAGTGAAAGAAAGACTCTTCAGTTATTCGCAACTGTGGTGGCGGTAGAAAGTTATACTTGATGTCTGAGCCTTGAGTTCTAGGTTGTCGTGATAAAGACACAGGGGAAGCTCGGTTACTAATAAAGCTAACTCCAAATCTAACCGAACAACATAAAAAAATTATGAGAATATAAAAACACAAAGTGCAATCTAGACCATCTACAATCTCGTAGCTTATTGTAATATGGATTAATTTTCGTTCCTTTGTGCCTTTTTCATCAATCACATAGATCTAGCGTAAAACTCGGTTCCATGATCCCTTTTCCTGGGGTGACACGCTAAAAAACGAAACGATTCATTTTCTCAAGCTGCCGGCTAGGGCTGTTGAAGTTGACCTTGGTATGTATGATCTGAGATTTGTGTTTAAACCATTTTGTCACATATCTATAATTTTTCAGAAATGGAAGTGTGTCATCTGTAGTATAATTGTAAGTATTCCCGCCTGTCACACGGGATACCGGGGTTCGATTCCGCACCAAGAATGGCTGTTTTTGTCTTGATATTGAGAGACAATACTGAAACAGAAAGAAGAAAGAAGATAAAGACAAAGCGGCTGATTTTTAAAAGTGAATCAGGCAGAAGGACAGAGAAGAAGAAAAATTATTTTTATTACTTTAATACAATTAAGAGGAAAATGTTTTCTTACCGCCCGCAAACTCTAAAATGCTAATTTATTGTCCAGGTCTTAGAACTTGGATTTTGCTAGTACATACATGTATAATATACATATTAAACATATGTGAGGCAGCGTGGTGGAATCGGGCTCTCATCAATTTTTGGGCATGTAGAGTTCTTGGTATCATTTTAAAGCTTGTTCACTTGTCTTTATTTGGATGAAAAAAATATCCATTTATCTTGAATACAAGTCGAGATATTTGCGAATGAAGGAGGGTCACCTGTTTTCAGAGGTTAAATTAGTGAGAAAATGGTCTCCAAAGATTAGTTATTTCCTTAGCTTAAGAGTCCGTGGCAACTGAAAATTTACATTTATTGTACCTTTAATTAACCTTTTTCAGAAAAATCCGCACAGAAATGAGTTCTTTAATGGGCATGAAAGGTGTGGAACCAAAAAACAAAAATTTGATAAAAATTCACAAACCTGCAGAAAAATGCAAGGTTCTTCATTTTGATTATTTTGACGAGAGCCTGATTCCACCACGCTGCCTCACATATATACAAATGTATGTTCAACTCTAGTGGCGCTGAACTTTACGTCACATTTTAAAAGAAACCGCACATTCTTCAGACCTTAAAAGAGACTCTTTAAACCATGACGAAGCCAGATTTTCATGTTTTTAGATTAGCAATTCATAAAATTGTATGTTGCAATCGATATGCACCGCTCTAAACTACTAAAGAAAAGGAGCATTTCTGTCCATTCCTCTTTTTAAGAAATGTGAGTGTCTATTGTTCAGTGCAGGTTCTTTGCTGCGCGACAAAAAGGAAACCGAAATCCCCCAAAACAGTCGTAATGGGCACCAATGGCTGAGTGGTCAGTAAGCTCATATTCTCAGAAATGTCAAGCGTATTGCATCATGTCCGTATATATCGAATCAATCCGCCCTGTGCTTTTGCCACAGTTGCAATTCTCGATGTGTCTATGTCCAAGAGTTGCCTGCTACACCTTTCCCTAAAGATCAATTTTTCTCAAAACCAGGAAGACAGACTTCTAGCCCTCAGTCGTCGAAAGGTGAATGGTCACTGGGGATTGTCCTTCAACAAAATACGATAACCTTTGCTCAAAAACAGAATGGCGACCAGCAATGACGTGAGGATTAAAGAGTTTGGGATATTGTGTATTGTTCATGCATGTATGCAGTAATGTATTTGTATATTTAAGTAAAATTTTGTTAAACAAACTACCCAGGGGTATCAATAAAGTGGATTGTCCCCATTACTTTTTATATATTTAAATATATTGGATATACCCTGAGTTGCCGTGACATCAAGACTGTGTCAGTCATTCGCGACTGATAGTCGACAGCTACATATGATAGTCTAAGCCTTATAGGCTCAAAGATGTCGTGTTAAAGGCACGCGAGAAGCCAATATGATATAGGGGGGGGGGGGTGTATTTAAACCAAACATCATACATCTGTGTTCCAGGCGACGGGTTACCGCACTCATCCTTGACTGCGTTAATCAGTGGGTATTTGCCTTTTCCACAGGAAGTGCCTTTGAAGTCGTCCAGATCTAGCGCCCAGAACATAACTCCTCCGATTCCATGGTCGAGTACATAGTCCACCTGAAAATCAAACAATATCGTCTTCTGAGATCATATTCTATTTACAAAGAATTGTAACACCAGATAGATCAGTAAAAGGAAGGGAGAGGCAAGGTCTAGTTGAGGTCTCCGTTCGGAGCTTACTATGCCCACTACCATCTGTGGTCTCCATTCATCTGGAGGCCATCATGGGCGTAGCCGTGACATTATGTGTTAAAAACAGTTTTATGAAGGAAGACCTCAACTAGACTTTTACCGTGGGCAGTAGAGACGGGAAGCGGGAGAGAATCAAAGCTTTAGAAAGGGAAGAGAGAGACAGCGGCAAAAGGAGAGACGGAAGAGGGGAAAGGGGTAGACTTGTGAGTGTGTGTGTGTGTGTGT